CGAGCCGCGCCGGCGGGCGGGGTGCGGCGCGCGGGGTGCCCAGCTCGCCTCACGGTCGCTCCTGCGTTGCTGCCGTTGTAGGGGTACTGGGCGACAGCTGAGCTCTCCGTCCCCGACTGCCCCACGCCCGAAAGAGGGCCTGCAGCTGGGCTTGCTGGCTGCCGCGGATTCGGGATTGCGCGGACCCGGCGCTCAAGGGCACCGAGAAAGGGGAGGCCTGACAACTTTTTTCCCAGGATGATGATTCGCCTAAGAGGAAATGAAAAGACAGCCGCCCCTAAAGCTAACCTCGCGTCTTTCCCCTCTGATGTCAGGACCTTAAGAACTTGAGCTGCGGCGTCTTTCCTCAGACCCTAGTCCATCCCGCGGAGGGGGAGGAAGTGGTGGACGGACAGCTCCGTCCATAGGCAGGAGCCTAGTCCTAGCCAGGCAGGTACAGCGGAGGGCCCAGCGGGGCAGTCCTTCAAGGAGGAAGGGGGCTTGAAGTCCGAGGCGAGGCCAGGCGCGGGTTGGCCGGTCGGGGCACCCAGACCTGAGTGTCTCCCAGGTTTTTCCTGGCCCCTAGATGGCCAGCAGGGGGCGCGCGCTCCTAGGTCCCACTGGCCGAGATTGGGGTGTTAGTTACTGGCTCTGAAGGACTCGACCCAGGACCCTTGGAACCAAAAAATCTGGGACCACCATCCTGGAATTCCAGGGCATTGTCTCCCTTGTGAAGAGCCTGGGGTGCAGACACTAATACCACCCATCTCAAGGCACAGGCCAGAAAGCAGACAAGGGGCATCTGTGTGATCCTAGAAGTGTGCCCAGGTGGGTGGGAACAGCAGGAGAAAATACTGGCTTAGCCTGGAGTGCCTACGACTGGGAAGGAGTCTAGAATGGAGGGATCTGCCCAGATTCCACCATGTCCTGGGAGGAATAAACCAAACTTTGTGTGGGAGGAAGAGGAAAATAACAATAATAACAAGCTTTAGGATTGGGTGAAGTCTGTTTAGACTTGCCCTTCCCCAGATTTGCTTCCCTACATGGCCCCAAACTCTCTCCCATCCTGCCTGCCCTTTGGAAATGTGACTTTGATACTCCTTCCATCCAGAGGTGGAGTTGAATCTGAGTTGATCCAGTGTCTTGCTTTGACTTACTTTTACCAATAGATACCTGTGGTAGTGCTGTTATTGTGGTTTCCAAGTGTAAGCCTTAAGAGGCCTTGCCGATTCCATTTTTGCCCTTTTGAGAGTGAGCTACTATGTAAAGAAATCTGGACAATCCTACCAGAAAGTCCACATGGTAAGGCAGAGAGGCCCTGGAAGATAAGAAGCCAGTGGAGAACAGTGGTTTGCCAGATGACTGTCAGCACCAATTGCCAGACATATGAGTGAGGCCATCGTGTTCCAGCCCCAGCCCACGTCCCTGTGGAATACACCTGGGTGAGTGACCCCAGCCAACAGCTCATGAAGCAGTAAAACCTCCCAGCTGAACCCAGCCAACCCATGGAATCATGAAAAATAATAAATTATTGTTTTAAGCACTAAGTTTTGGGTGGCTTGTTATGCAGTAATAAATAAAAAAACTGTAGGCAGGGTCGATTATTCTCAGGTGCCTCATGTGGGAGGAGGAAGTCCTTTAGAAAGCACATATGGTGGTTGTTTGGATGGAAGTGAGCACCAGACACAAAGGTGAACCATCCCATGCTGTCCAGTGACCTTTGACCTGTGTGGCTTGGGTTGGGAGTCGGGGGCAAGAGAGTCAACCACAGAACAGAGGCTGAGGATGCGTGAAGTGCAGTTGTCTTCCAAGAGATCTGGATGAGCTTTAGCAAGCTGCAGCTGTGTGCAACATAAAATGGGGATAGAAACTGAGCAGAATGAGCTGATCAGCAGATAAAGATGAGAAAAGATGTGCTGAAGACAGCAGAGACCCCATGAAAGAGAAACCATGCTTTGCTGAGAGGGAGCTGCCTCTGGTTGTGAGTTTCCCAAGTCCCAACGGAGCCCAGCTATAGTGTCCATCTCTAGATTTCCATGACACTCTCCTCATTGCTTCAACCGATGCCCCCACCCCAAAAGTTGGTGGTGATTAGTTTTGCTTGACTAGCAACTTTTCCTACCCTCTTCTAGTAACAGGCCCTGCCTCCCTGGTCACTGGAGTAGGCATGTGACCTACACCTGACCAGCGATAGACCCCTGGACCCGGCAGCTGAGCCAGGGGTGAGCCTGGGACCCCAGCTGGGCCCCTGTCTCGCACTCTAATGTAGGGATTTGGCTCTTTCTTCTCTGCCACTTTTCTTTGGGACAATGAGAGCTGGAAACTCGTCTTTCCCCGTGGCAGGTGAGAGAACAAAGGAGAAGCCAATGTAGAAAGACAGTGAGGCACAGAGAGAGAGAAGCCAGAGCAGGGAGGGAGGGTGCCACCTGGAGCCTTTGGATCCAGCAGTGCCTGAATTTCCCAATTACATGTGCCAACGAGCCTCCCTTTGTGCCTGAGCTTGTTTGAATCGGGTTTTGTTCACTTGCAACCAAATCTCTTGACGAGTCCAAACCCCTTTACTCACAGTGACATGAGCAGGCCTCCCTTCCTTGCTGTCAAAGGATCCTCCCAAACTCCTGGTTTGGTCCCTTTAAGAACTTTCCCTAGATCCCTCTTTGGAGGGCTTAGAACTTGATCCTAGGCTCTTCTTTCCACCTTCTTAGGTTCCTGGCCATCGTCTTGGTCTTCTCTGTCACACCCGGATGGCTGGCAGGATGCAGGGGTCTCTGGCCCTCTGCACCCCTGCACTTCAACCAGCACTTCTTCTCAGGGTCCAGCATTCTCCACATGGATAAGCTGGTAAGAGATGCCCTTGAGCATGACTCCAGGTTCCCTACACCTGAACTGCTTCCCTGGGCAGCACTGACCCAGCACGCCTGGCTCTGTTGGCTTGTTTTTAACAAGACTCGGAGCAGATACCTCCTCCAGAGGCCTCTCTTCACCCTTTACCTGTCCCCCTTCTCTTCCAACCAATCAAGCAAGACCCTTCGTCCTTGGAAGCCTGTAGCTCTTGGTTCATTATCTTCCTCTCTCATTCTGTTTGGATCTCCCCACAAGTAACAGAGTAAAATAAGCAGTGGCCTTGATGTCAGGAGACCTGAGTTCAAGTTCCAGCCTTGTCAATTTCTAAGCCTTCATTTCCTTGTCTTTCTTTAAAAAATAGAGACATAAACATGTGCTTGACTCTGCCGATGGAATCACGTGGGAAGCTGTTGGTAACTATGATGCACTGTATACACAGGAAGGGTCAATTGTTTGAGGCTTGGGAGGGCTTCACAGAGGAAGAGGACATTGAGACAGGGCAATGGGTAGCCCAGGGAGGGGCAATGGCACAGATGTATAAGACATTCCTTAGGGAAATGGAGAGCAATTCGTGGTGGCTCAAGTGCAGGGTGCAGGGGTGGCATGTGGAGGGAAGAACAGGCTTCTGGGATCAGGGACAGATCATTTAGGGCCTTGAGGGGCTCTGAAGGAGTTTATCATACTGAGGGAAGAGAGGAGCTTTTGAAGAGTTGAAATGGTCAGATTTATGCTTCAGGAAGATCACTCTGGTTTCTTAGGGGCAGCTGGATGGCACAGAAGGCAAGCCTGAAAGCAGGAGGTGGCTAGCCTGGGCTAGGGATGATGAGAGCCTGCGGTTTTTAGGAGATGGGAAAAGCAGGCAGGGAGCAAGACTCCTCACCCCTCTGTCTTCAGCTGGGAGTAGCAGTCCCCAGTCCTCAGGTTTCTGAGTCACTTCCTTACAGGTTTATGGCTGCCCTGAGGCCAGGTCAGCCTCCTTCCTCTGTCCTAATTGCTTCCCTCCAAGGGAGCTGGCCCCCTCCAAGTGCCCTTGAGAAAACCCTTGTAAAAGCAATTGAGCGTTTCAGGAGGAAGTAAGCACCTCCGGCTGCCACTGACCCGAACTCCCTGCACGGAACAGTGCCTCTCTGGCTACTGAGGGGTGGGGGGCAGTGTTCTAGCAAAAAAATTCACCACCAAGTCCCATCCCCACCCCCACCGTATCTGCGTCAGTGTAGGGAGTCTCAGGGCTCTGGGCTGGGCTTCAGTGGATGGTGCAACAGGTGTGCACTACACAACACCTTGACCAGCAGGGCAGGTGGAGGCTGATATCCAGGCTGTGCTCCACTTGTCAAGCTGGGTACTGTGGCATGGCAGGCTATATTTGTTCAGAAGGCTGTATTTTTCTAATGGGCCCAAAGGTGTCATCCATCGGCCAGCTGTATCCTTATGGGGCTGCTTCCACTCAGAGGCAGTACCTTTTCCTACTCTGTACAAAGGGCACCATATGAACTAATTGCATTCCTGGCCCTTGGCCTTTCTTCCCATGGTCATCCATTCATCTGGGCTCTTAGATGCCTTCCACTGGACAGAGAAACTAGGCCCAATGTTTGCTGTTATTAGCTCCCTTCTGGGGAAACTGCTCTGTGCATGGACTCCACGTATCAGCATCTGGTCTGGCCCATTGATGAATGGGCCGAGGGTCCCACCGAAAGCTAAGCTGAACCAGTCAGATTCCTTTGCTTAAGAAGCAGAACTTACAGACGCAGAGCAGGGTTGTCAGTCCCTGGTGAGTCTTGACGTAGGGCTGGGGATGCAGCCGCCACTTTGTGCAGGGGAACCAAGGAAGTCTGAAGAGAAGCCAAGTGAAAGGCCACAGATGCAAATACTACCAAAGAGACGAGTGCTTGCGAGGTCAAAGAAGCGACAGGCCCTGTCGCCAGTTCCAGTTCTCTGAAGGCACAGCCCTTCTTGGTTTTCTGTCTTTATGGTCCCTTGTAATCTGCTCAGCCCTTTCTGTGAACTAGCTCAAGTGGTTCTCTATTCCATGTAACCAGAGTCCTTGCTAGAACAAGGATCTCAGCCCCAAGGAGGATGCTGAGGTCCCCCACTGTGTGAACTTACCCAGGCCTCCCCCCACAACTCCCCATCCCCTCACCCAGTCCCACCTCAGTGTAGGGAAAAGTAGGAGCTCTTAGCACAGTCACACCTTTTATTCACTGTCAGTGAGAAAAACACCACACAGCACAGGGTCAGACAGTGAGGACAGTCACTGTGGGTGCAGCCAGGGACAGCACAGGTGGCCACGCTGGAGGATGGCTTGGGAGGCTCCCCTCTGCCATCCAACCCCCGGCTCCCCAAGCCTCCACCAAGCAGGAAGGGCCATACATCCTGGGAGGCCTGTTCCTGTCTTCGTATTCTCTGGCAAAGGTAAAAGAAAACTCTGAAAATTTCAAAAAGAAAAATCACATATTTTTCTAAGACTTTTCAACTGTGGGATTTGAATTATTTTTTTCAAAATGATGAATAAAATATGTAAGAAATGTATTCTTGTCCCCACATGATCTCTAAAGTCGGCACAAAGCCTCACCTAGGGTGGATCTTCAGGAAATATTTGTTGCTTTGGTAAATTTTTGTGTAAAATATTTACAGTGTCAGCTTACTACCCTGCTTAGAAGCCCCAGTGTATTCTCTTATTCTCTCTCCTTTTTCTCCCATCTCCTCCTTTTCTCACTCTGTAGCAGGGCGATGTCTACTCTGCGGGCTTTGCCATTGTCAGGAAAAGTTTCAGTGCCTTAGTTTATGGGCTTTCTTTTTCTTAACCTTTGATTGAAAGGTGAGTTATATAATCTCGACTACAGTTCAAAGGACTGAAGTGACCATCAGAAGTAGCCCTTGCTGATGATTCTTAGAGATAAGAAATAAGGGGCTCATCTAAATCAGCCCAAAAGGATAAATAACAGAATGCAGTTAGAAGGCATATTCTGGGACTTTGCAATTCAGAGTTGCTGCAAGGAGACACAGAACTTCAAAGGAGAATTTGGATATATCAGTGTTTTAACTGTGTGTATATTTTTGTGTCTATGTAAGTCATACTTTTATTTCTGCTAACCTTGTAATCTATGGCAAGTCCTTCTTGACTGCACCAGGAATGGGAGATCTGCCTCTCTGCTGAAGACAGGGTTGATGCTCTACCATAGGAGCTCCTGAGCACAAAGTCTCTGGGACATTCAGGAGCATGTGGGAGCAAGGCCTGGCTCACCTGTGTCTCCTCCAATCAGCAAGATGGTTGTCCTAGTTCCCAGCCTAGCATTATGTGTTCACATTGCTGGCTTTCTGAGAATCTTTGGCCTGGCCAGCAAATATCACCCATGGGTATGTGTCCAGAGGATTAGAGTGATCAAACATGCCCTCATGGGTAGGACCTGCCCACCAGCTGGGAAAAAACAAAAACAGTTCTCTTAGGGATGACGATGGTGGTAAAGACAGTACAAGATGCTTCCAGGGTTCTGAATCAGAGGCCTCCTAGAACACTGCTGACCCATTGGCAGAGCTGCCCAAAAGCAGAAAACAAGATGCTTGAAAATATGGGCACTTCAGCCAAGTCCTATTTCTCTTTGGAAGACCACAGTCTCAGAAACTTCTTAGCAGGAAGCTTGTAAAAGACAAAAACTAACATAGCTTGCCCCATAGTCAACCTCTGTATGAGTCTATCAGAGAAATGGGCAGGGAAGAAACTCCGAAGGGAAGAAACCCTCTTAGAGCTCTGGGTTCAAGTCTTGGCAATGTGCCACCTCCTGACTGTGTGCTCTTGCACAAGGGACTCCCCCTCTCTGTGCCTCTTTTCCAAATCTGCAGAAAGGGAGTGAAAATCCCTATTTCCCTAGGCTGTGAGGACAGAATGAGATGGGGTAATTGACAAGCCTTTGGAAGCCATGAAGTTCTGTGTGCTTGTGTGTTAGGTTAGTTTCAACATGTGGGGGATAGGAACCCCGTCTGGTAGAAAGGTCGTTACTGGAAGTCTCAGCTGAGCTAGACTGAGCTATGTATCTGTGGTGCTGACAGCACGAGACACACTTAATGGCCAGCTCCTGAGAGCAGTGGAACATCCCCTGAGGCATTCCTGGATAAAAACCTGCTGGTTTCTGCTGAGGATGTGAATTCCCCAGCCTTATAATGTGCAGCTCATCATAGACAGAAGGATAGAAAGAGGATGGCAACTCAGTGGCCTTGCTACCTCCATGGGCAGCAAGAAGGAAGGTCCAGGATAGTGTGGGACCAAAAGTCAGCATCCCCAAGAGTTTCCCTCTGCAGAGTGAGAGGAGAGATGAGCACTCAGAAGTAAGAGGCATGCTGCATCTCTTTCCTGCAGATACAATCCCACACCCCCTGACTCAGCAATCATTCCCTGCTCCCACCCTGGGCTGACAGTACCTGTGTACTAGACTATTCCACCGGTGGTTCAAGAGGAAATCAACTGTCACTGCACATCAAAATTTCTAATCACAAGTACAAGAGAAAGAAAAGCAAAAGACTTGGTGAAGAAGCAAGATTAATTTTCTGGAAGTCAAAGCATGCAGCTGTATAGCTTATGGATTCAAAACTGGAAAACAGGCATTGGAAAAAAAGCCAGTGCTCTTGGAAGGTGATGAATTACCTGGCAGATTTAGGATTTAGGGTTAGAAAAAGCCTTTCAAATGGAGTGTGCCCAGTGCATTTTTAGGCATTTGGTCCAGAAATGCAGCCTGGCAGCCTAAACAGTGGCCAGTGGTCTTCTTCTTCCAGCTCTTTCTGCTTCTGTAGCAGTGAAAGAACAGCCCATCCTTGACACTAGACCACCTCCAGAAAGGAACTTCCAAGATGTAGGACATATACTTGTCTCACTCTCCGCAAACCTTATTTTTCCTGTTTTCCAAAATCAGCCCCCAACTAAAGGAAGTGCACAATGGAGAGTTGCTCTCTGAATTGAAAAACATCATTAAAAAGAAAGCAGCAGAAACTGCGGCTGATGACAGCTCAGGACTTAGGCTGATACGAAAAGTATTGTCTGGTACATTTGGTAATATTTTTCGTCTTTTTTCCTCAGCTCTTTCCCCCCACTGAAAATTAGTACTTTCTATATTCATTTAATCATTTTATAAGAAACTAAGTAATACAAAGTATGTTTTAATATCCTAAACTAATAAAATGACTTTAGCTCCTTTAGAGGGCACTAAAAAAATAAGTATTACATAAATTTCCTTTTCTGAAAATTTCCACTCACATGGTTCCTAGACTTCCAATCACTTTTCATTTCACCCTTCAGCAGCTCTGTGTGGAGCTGGGCTGATGAATTTAATAGTTCCCCTCATACTAACCAACCTCACCATATCCTCTACTCAGCTGTGTTCAATGTTCCCGTCAGAGACCTTGACCCCTGGAAGTTTGCCTCGATACCCTGTGAGCCCCGGGAGGGCATGGAATGTGTCTTGTAAACTGTGCCTTTGCACTTAGAGGTGTCTGGCACTGAACAGGTGCTCCATAAACATTTGCTGAAGAAAGGACTGAAGGAACACTCCAAAGGTTGGGAAGAAAGGGGCCAGGTAGAGTCAGGAGGGCAGGGCAGAGACCACCTTTAAGGAATCTGGGTGATCAGCAAAGGACAGACCCAATTTGGCCCTTTAGCTGGGGTCTGTGAGACCATATCCTATAAAGCATAATCTCAGGAAGAACAGAATTTCAAAGCAGAACCCCAGTCCCCCCTTTAACCCTGCCTCCTGGGGCAAAAGCCAGGCCCAGTGAATGGGGGTGGGGCTAACCACAGGATACCTGAGGATCTGTCTTTTCCAGGGTGAGGTGGTCCCTCAAGGATCTTGACAGAGAGAAGCAAGGGCTTGGGCAGAGGGGTGGATAGGCCAGAGAGTGAGGCCAGAGTACCCCTCCCCCTGGGGAAGGGCCAGCTGAGAGGTCAACAGCTTGGGCAGTGGCCGCACCCCGCCTGGCCACGCCCGGCACCAGCCTCTACTTCTGCATGTCACACTGCAGTAGCAACACAATGGATGGGTCGCTCTTGGCCGCCTCCTTGAACTCCTCCAGCGTAATCTGGTCGTCCTTATCTTGGTCCATCTTCTTAAAGATCTTGTCTACACGCTGCTGGGGTGTGAGCCCATCCTGGTTCATACGCATCATGATCACGGTGCCCACCATCTTGTAGATAGCCTGGAAGGGTGAGGAGGAGGGTGTGAACACTCACGAGGGACAGGGAGACTCAGGGGTGAGTGAGGGGGGTCTGGGGCAGGCAGGGAGAGCACTGGGAGATGGTGAGGATATTGGAAGGTGATGTATGGTCATTAAGACTGGATATTTAATGAGCACCTCACACCAAACATACCTAAAACTCAACCCTTCACCTCCAACCTGTCCCTCTCCCAGCATCCCCTGTCTCAGTACATTGTAAATACATTCCTCTTGTTCATGTCAAAAACCTTGATGCCATTCTTGACTCTCCTCTTACAGCCACACGCAATACTTCAGCAAACCTCATCAGCCCTAATTTTACAGTAGTCCTCCTATCCAACAACCTCCCACCCCCTCCATCTTCCTCCACGGTTGTCCCCTCCATCAGCTCCTAACTGGACTGCTCTGGAAGTTTCCTAACTGGTTTCCCCGCTTCTGCTGCCCCCCTAATCTGTTCTCCACACAGAGAATGGAGAGAGCCCTTAATGGCTTCCCACATCACTCAGAATAAAGTCAAGTCTCTACCCCAGAGGGTGAGATGCTAAGTGACTGGGCTCCTGGCTACTACTGGAGCTCTCTCCTACCACCTTGGCCTCCCGGCCACTCCAGGAACACTGCAAACACTAACGTCAAGGTCTTTGCTTCTATTGTTCTGTCTGCACAGAACACTCCCCCAGACATCCACAAGATTAGCTCCCTCACCTTATTCAGGTAGCTGCACTTTTCACCTTGCATAAAATCACTTTTCCTCCCTTGCTCTCTCCCCTTACTTTGCTTTGCTTATCCTTATAATACGTTCCGCCTGACAGAGTATGGTTTTGTTGCTGTTCTAACTTTTCTCACTAGAAGGAATGTCCCATGAAAGTAGGGACAGTGCCAGGCACTCGGCAGGTACTCCGTATGTATTTGTTGGAGGAGTAATGAGCTAACAGTTCAGGCTCTAGAGTCGGGCTCCCTGGATTTGGATCATGAACTACCACTGGCTACCTTGACTCATCTGTAAAATAGGGTTTCTGGCAGTACCTACTCCACAGGGTTGTTGGGTACAGCACTCAGCCCAAAGCCTGTCCTACACTGAGCGCCGAACCAATGCTAGTTAGCCACTGGATCCTGGGTGGGAGCAGCGAAGCGGGTGCTGAGGCCTGAGAGGGTGGCTGCAGAAGGCGGTGCCAGAGAAGGGCCCGACAGCGAAGACAGAGGCCTCTACCCCCAGCGCACCTCGATGATCTCCAGCATCTCGAGGCGTGTGATACGCCCGTCCCCATCCAGATCGTACATCTCAAAGGCCCAGTTGAGTTTCTGCTCGAAGCTGCCGCGGGAAGTGACCGAAAGGGCACAGATGAACTCCCGGAAATCGATGGTGCCGTCGCCGTTCTTGTCGAAGGTGCGGAAAGCGTGCTGCGCAAACTTGGAGGCGTCGCCGTAGGGGAAGAACTGAGGCGGGGACGCGTGGGGTTGGGGTGCAGCAGCGGCCTTGTTCTTCCCGCCCGCTACCTTCCAGCCCGCCCCACCCAGCTGGCCCTCCTCCTGGCCGCCTGGCCCCTCCCCCTCCCGTCCGGCCTGCCCCCGGGGCGCCTGGCCCCGCCCGCCCGCCCACCTTTATGTAGAGCTGCTGGAACTCCTCCAGGTTGAGGATGCCGCTGGGACAGTCCTTCAGAAAGCCCTTGTACCACTGCTTCAGCTCCTGCTCGCTGAACTCGGTGCTCTGAACCAGGTCCTCCAGCACCTCTGGGGCCAGCTTGCTGTTGGTTTTCCCCATGGCAGGGTCTGGGGGACAGGGGGCTTCCTCACCTTGGTCCAGAGCCAGGCCCTCACCTGGGCACTGGTCCCCCAAGTCCCTTTAGGACAGGGTTCCCAGGTTTCTCCACAACAGCCATCTCCCGTAACAAACCCCACGTTCCTACAGCCAGAATCCCTCCTTCCACAGCAGGCTGGGTCCCCTATTCTCAGTACCAACCTCATCAAGACCCACTCACCTCCTACAGCGGGGCTCGATCCTCCACCACCACACTGCTTCCTGTGCACAGGAGCACCTACCTCTCCTCACACACACATACAAGGATGTCTCTTCCTGTCCTTACACTCCATGTAACAAGGCCTCCTCTGTCAGCAGGTCTCTCCCCTTCTCCTCACAGCAGGAATTCTCTCCCGGCACCCAAGATCTCTAGCCTTCCAGGTCTCTGTTCACCGAGCAGTGCCGCATGCCACACTCTTTGTCCACTCCTTCCTGCTTACACCTTCCATAGCTCCCCCACTCACAGAATAGGGTCGTAATCCTCTCCTTGCTATTCAGAGCTTTCCACACTCAGCCCCTATCTGCCTCTTCAGGCTCCTCTCTTTCCAGGGATCCAAGGCTGGTTCCTCATTTGTCCACCTGACACCATCTTCTAAGTTCTTCCTCAAGGCCTTCCAGGCCACCCCAGCAGGAAGCTTCTCTTCCCCCTTCCTCTGTACAAATAGAAGTCCTCGCTGGCAGCACTGACGGCCCTGATTACATCCTGCTTTTCATTAATCATTCATTCTCTGAGCATATATTGAGGCTGACTGTGTGCAAGGCCCTGTGCTAGTGATGGGGATAAAGTAGACACAAACCATCAATGACTCATAATTGGGACAGAGAGGTAGATGGCTGATTGTAAAGGGCTTCAATCCATGCCAAGGAGTTTAGCCTTTACCTGTAGGGACAGAAGCTCCTGGGGTTTTACAGTCAGGGCTAAGAAGATAACATTGAGTCCACAAACACTTACAGAATGCTTACAATATGGCAGGTCTTGAAGTGGGTGCAGAGGACCCAGAGAGAAGGAATATGTTTAGAATTTCAGAATTTTTCTTTTGTCTACAGTGTACAAGATGGCCTGGGTGGGGAGACGTAGGGGGAACAGAGAGGTGCCTGCTGCATAGTTCAGGTGAGAGATGATGACACCAGGGTAGTGGGTGTGGAGAATGTGGATGGACTGAGAGATGTTAGGAGGTGCCACTGGCAGGATATGGTGACTGACTGGATGTGGGGACGAGACGAGCAGAGGGAGCTGAGGTGTATGCTCAGATGTGTATGCTGAATAGATGGGTGGTGGTGCTGAGAAGCAAGTTTGGGGAGGATGAAGAGTCAGTCCCCTGCTGGAACAGGAGCCCCTCGAGTAGCCTGTGCCAAAGGAAGCTTTTGCAGAGGAAGGTATAGGTCCTTCCCAGGAAACCTGGCCAGAGCAAGGCCCCAGGCCCTGAAGGCTGGGTGGATATTCTGGTCTGACCTCCATGGAAGGAATGTATCTTCAGAGCCTGCGTTTCCCAGGACATGGCCTGGGAGGTAACTTTGACCTGCCTGGAGGCTCGTCAGAAGGGGGCCAGACTCCAACCTCAGGGTGGCCCATCCTGAAGATACTCTAGAAAAGAAAGCCCTCAGGCTAGCAGAAGCAATTCCACTTCCACAGTCCCCTGCATGCATCCTTACTGCTAGGAGTGTCCTACATAACCATATGTGAGACTGGTCTCTTCCATGCCGCTCACTTGACTGTGTGACCTCAGGTGAGTTACAGGACATCTCGGGTTCAGATTCCTCCACTAGGCCAGGAGGGAAATCAAAGAGAAGCTAGGGTAGCAACATCCTCCCCCACCTACCACTCCCAGAGGGTGGGGAAGCCTATATGCTCCCAGGAGAAGCCAGGAATGGAGGAGGCATGCCATCTTCAGAAGCCTGAACTGTGGGGTCCAAAACAGCTGCACCAGGCCCACAGTCAAGGATGCCTCTGGAACACCCATGGGCAGGAGGCAACTCCATCGGCAGCTCCTCCTCTCCAAGTCCAAAGCACACTGAAGGCTCAGGGTATAGTCAAGGAAGTCATAGACTCTAAGGGGAAGGTGTCTGATGAGGGCAGAGCCTCTCCTGCTGTCTCCTGCGGGCTGTGCCCGTGTCTGCGTAAGGGGCTGGGTGTAGGTGGGAGCGTGTCAATGTATGAGACTGCCAGTCTGTCAGAGCACACACATCTCTGTGTGTGTGTGTCATGGTGTCTTTGTGCCTCTCACCTTCTGCCCCTTTTTTCCTCCCTGCCCTCTGCTGCCTTCCCATAATTCTCTGTCTCCTGGGGCCACACTTGTTCCTGGCCCCAAACTGGTCCCAGACCCACTGAGGACTACATCATCTTCTTCATTTCTCTTCATTCCTCTACTGCTCTTAGATCAGCAGATCAAAGCTGGTGGTGCCCTTTAAGATCATTCCCTTATTTTAGTGAAACCTGGAACCCAGAGAGAGGAGAAAACTGGCTCAGAGTTACACAGCAGGTCAGTGGAAGGGTCCAGATGAGCATCCAGGCTGAATCCATGCCACCTGCCTGGACCACACTCTCCAAATTATGGCTACTCTTGTCCAGTACAGAGCTTCCCACTCCTCCTACCTGCCTTCTGGGAAAACCACAGCTCTGATCTCCCTCTTGACCTCAGTGAGCTCCAGGCCACAGTGTCTGACACCCAGGATATATCCACACCTTGGGCAGCCCACCAGCACCTCAGCCTCAGTACATCTACAACCAGGCTCATCCTTAACCTGTGGTGGCCCTCCTCTCTCCATGGCCAGTTCCCTCCCTCATCCCATGGGGGAAATGCCATCTTAGTTACCTTTTATCTCCTCTCCCCTTTTCCCTAGGTCTGACTCGCCACCAAGTCTTATTGTTCCTCCTTTTGAAATGCACCTGGAGCCTTCACTATGTCCTTCTCTCCCCAGAGTCAGGGCCAACAGCACAGCCGAGGGAGCTGAAATCTAGCTGGGGCCCTGCTTGCCAAGCCATGCCCATGGGCCCAGCTGCCTCAGAGGAAGTACCTCTCTTCTGATTCCTCTGTTCTGAGGGGATATTGTTTCTGGTTTTTGCCAAAAGTACGATATAGGCTAGAGGTAGCCAGGCCCCTGGACCCCCAAACTCCAGAATCCTTTAGAATCTGGTGTCAAGGTGCCCACCTGTCTAGCTTCACCTCCCGTTGCTCCCCTTACAATTACATACTTCAACTTAGTCTTCTCACAGCCAAAACCTCCCACTCCTGTCGCCTACCTGTTTTCCTCTTCCCAACATCCTTTCTTCCCTTCGGGACTGAAGCAGCTATTATCAGCCTTTGTGCCCAGCTGAAGCCCACTCCCTGATGATCAGCCTCCACCAGCCTGAATCGTGGACACTCAGCAGCCCAGACTCAGCACTTTGGGGCCACAGAGATGAGCCCCACGAGTGTGTATACTCCAGAGCTCTCTGGCACTCACTGATGCTCTAGAATTCCAAATGGGGCTTGATTTGGGAGAGGACTTTTTATTAAACCCTGGCCTGTGCCACAAAAAGTTCTCCACACCTTTTGCTTAAGGGCAAAGAGCTCATCCCCACCCAATGTCACCTGGTTGGTGTTGGAGCACTCAGATAAGAAAAGTGCATCCCATTATTCCTAAGTTTGCCCTCTTGTAGGGCAAACCTTGTTCCCCAGGTTCCTGCTGCCCCCTCTGTGGCTGCATAGAACCACCTTGCAAAAACCTAAACACCATGCTGGAAGACAAAGATGTTCAATGAATGTCCCTTGGAGGAATACATGAGTGGGGCCAGAACCCCCTTGTTCCTCCTTGAGCCAGCATCAGGCTGTTTGGTTTATCTGCATTCTCCTGCCATTGCACCCCCTTCCAAGCCAACAGAACCCAGACCTGGGGAAAGGAAGGGTTCACCCAAGGTCACCTAGAGGCCATCAGCTACAAGGCAAAGGTCGGAACTCACTGGGGGTGGGGGCATGTTCTGTTGTAGCTGTGGCCCCTCTGAACATAGGCAGGCTCCTCTGCTTCCCTCTTGAATAAAGTAAGGGCTGCCCTCCAGCTGTGAAGGAGCTGGCACTGCCCCATGCACTGCCCCTCTGTGCTCAAAGGCTTCTTCCAGAGGGCAAGCCCAGGGGTGTGGGCCTCAAATAGGGAGGTGGCAGTGAGGGCGGGAGGAACTGAGGGAGGCAATAATCCCACACCCTCACCCAGCTTCAGAAGAGCTGGTGCTGAGACGGTTGCCATGGTGACAATAGCTCCCTGGTCAGGAGATTTTTTTCTTTCCTCTCCTCCTTTTTCTCTTCTCCAAGCAGCGGCAGCCAGGTCTTCTCCCTCTCCTTCTTAATGAGAGGCAGGGATGATAAACACAGAGTGGGCCCCACTGGCCACCTCCATCTTGGAGCTGTCCATGCCACGTGTACTGGTGATCTAGGAGGGACTCCTAACAGCCGGGAAGGGGCCTGGGCCTGGAAAGTGTGTGGGAGGGGGTGGCCTGGGTAAGAAGCAACGTCTTCTCAGTGATAACTAAAGCCCCTTAGGCCTCCTGTCTGAAATGTCCTAATGGTCTAGGGGAAGAGAAAAGGCTCCTGTTTTCTCATAATCAGCCATAGAACCAGAGCGTGTCAGTGTTGGAAGGCTGTTCAAGATTATCCCATTCAGTCCACCCTCAGTCGTGCCCTCTATCGTCATTTCACAAAGAATCAGAGAGGGAAGTAACTTGGCCAAAGTCAAACAGCAACTGAGGCAAAGGTAAGATTTGAACCCAGTTCTTCTGCCCTCCAGGTTCAGGACACCTTAGGGAAAGGAATGACACAGTCCACATGGAGCTTTGGCACGGTCTTTGTGGAGCAGCAGGAAGATAGCAGGGAGGGAGTGGCTGGGTGCAAGAAGGCCAGAGAGGATAGGAATTAGAAACACATTTGAGAGGTACAATGAGAGGACTTCGTGTTTTGGCTGAAAGGGGCAAGGGGAAGGGAGGAGACTGGGACCTGACAGGTGTGGGTGGTCTGCTGGGGAGTGGTGTCCGGGTTCATCCTCCAGCCAGGATGCAAGAGACCAAACATGGGGCCTCTGCGGAGCACTGGGCCCACAGGGACCACAGGGAGAGGGGCTGTTGAGACAGTGTCTGTGAGGAGAACTGGGGACTAGGGGAGCTTCTTCCCTTCCCCAGGCATGCTGTAAGCTCTATCAGCAGGAAGGGTGGGAGATGGGGACAGTTGAGGGGGCAGTGTGAAGTGGGAGTGGGCTCTCTCCGAGCAGGGACCTTGTGAAGTACAGGAAGCTGCTGGTGGGGCTGGCTGGTGTGGGTGAGGACTACCTGCAGAGGTGGGAGGGGGGCCACGGGGCTGGGCAGAGTACCCATCTCCAAGGAGGGAGGTTGCTCGGTGCCTCCGATGGTGCCAGCAACATCACGCCCCCAGATGCGTGTGTGTGTTAGGGGCCAGAGCAGTGGTTGTTCTTACCTGAGCTGGGCGTAAGGAGGCGGCGTTGCCTCCTTCCCTGGGACCCGTGGGCTTGGACTGGGGCGACGTCTGGCCCCTGCCCAGGGACGGACCCTCAGATGATGCCGCCTAAGAAAGCACCAGGGCTCAGAGAGATGAATCGGAGATAGCAGACGACGAGGATGGGAATGAAGAGTGGAGGGGGAGGGGGTAAGGCCGCTGCCCGGCCCCACCCGCTTTACCTGAAGCCGCTCGCCGGGTCGCGGGATAGCTCCGAGCCTCGGCGGGCCGCGGGGACCGAGATTGGCTCGCGGGCTGGCGGCCAGGCTCTCCAAGGTCCGCACCGAAGCCACCTCCCAGCTCTTGTATCACTATGTATCTTTCGGAGGCGATCTGATTTGCATAAGCCCCTCCTCATCACGGGCAAATTGGGCGTTGATTGGCTCCACTGGGGCGGAGTGGCGGGCGGGGTTTCAGGTGGGACCCGGTGGTCTGTGAGGCCCGGCTGCAGGAGAGCGCCCCGCCCGCTTGCGCTGACCTTCCCGCAGTTGTGCAAAGGGGGGAAGCTGTACCCCATCCGTACCCGGCCCTGAGGCTCAGACACCGGGCCACAGTCTGGGGAGAAAAGTGAAGATGGAAGTGGATTCGCAGAAACAACCGCGCGGTTGCTATGGAAACAGGAGAGCCACAGCGGAGCCTCTAAGCCTTCCTTCCTAGGCCCCAGAGGGGGTGGGGGCGGGGGTGGGACTGGGGGAGGCGATGAGTCACACGATGTGAACCCCCTTCATATTCCACCCCTAATTGGAAGAGGGTGAGGAGGAGCTGCTGAGTAGCTAACTGGGGAGGGAAGCGACGGGTTGGTCAGCAAACCACGCCTTCGCATCACACACACCTCCAACACACCCGCTCCCCTCACGTCTCTGGGGGACAGGGGGCTTCCTCACCTTGGTCCAGAGCCAGGCCCTCACCTGGGCACTGGTCCCCCAAGTCCCTTTAGGACAGGGTTCCCAGGTTTCTCCACAACAGCCATCTCCCGTAACAAACCCCACGTTCCTACAGCCAGAATCCCTCCTTCCACAGCAGGCTGGGTCCCCTATTCTCAGTACCAACCTCATCAAGACCCACTCACCTCCTACAGCGGGGCTCGATCCTCCACCACCACACTGCTTCCTGTGCACAGGAGCACCTACCTCTCCTCACACACACATACAAGGATGTCTCTTCCTGTCCTTACACTCCATGTAACAAGGCCTCCTCTGTCAGCAGGTCTCTCCCCTTCTCCTCACAGCAGGAATTCTCTCCCGGCACCCAAGATCTCTAGCCTTCCAGGTCTCTGTTCACCGAGCAGTGCCGCATGCCACACTCTTTGTCCACTCCTTCCTGCTTACACCTTCCATAGCTCCCCCACTCACAGAATAGGGTCGTAATCCTCTCCTTGCTATTCAGAGCTTTCCACACTCAGCCCCTATCTGCCTCTTCAGGCTCCTCTCTTTCCAGGGATCCAAGGCTGGTTCCTCATTTGTCCACCTGACACCATCTTCTAAGTTCTTCCTCAAGGCCTTCCAGGCCACCCCAGCAGGAAGCTTCTCTTCCCCCTTCCTCTGTACAAATAGAAGTCCTCGCTGGCAGCACTGACGGCCCTGATTACATCCTGCTTTTCATTAATCATTCATTCTCTGAGCATATATTGAGGCTGACTGTGTGCAAGGCCCTGTGCTAGTGATGGGGATAAAGTAGACACAAACCATCAATGACTCATAATTGGGACAGAGAGGTAGATGGCTGATTGTAAAGGGCTTCAATCCATGCCAAGGAGTTTAGCCTTTACCTGTAGGGACAGAAGCTCCTGGGGTTTTACAGTCAGGGCTAAGAAGATAACATTGAGTCCACAAACACTTACAGAATGCTTACAATATGGCAGGTCTTGAAGTGGGTGCAGAGGACCCAGAGAGAAGGAATATGTTTAGAATTTCAGAATTTTTCTTTTGTCTACAGTGTACAAGATGGCCTGGGTGGGGAGACGTAGGGGGAACAGAGAGGTGCCTGCTGCATAGTTCAGGTGAGAGATGATGACACCAGGGTAGTGGGTGTGGAGAATGTGGATGGACTGAGAGATGTTAGGAGGTGCCACTGGCAGGATATGGTGACTGACTGGATGTGGGGACGAGACGAGCAGAGGGAGCTGAGGTGTATGCTCAGATGTGTATGCTGAATAGATGGGTGGTGGTGCTGAGAAGCAAGTTTGGGGAGGATGAAGAGTCAGTCCCCTGCTGGAACAGGAGCCCCTCGAGTAGCCTGTGCCAAAGGAAGCTTTTGCAGAGGAAGGTATAGGTCCTTCCCAGGAAACCTGGCCAGAGCAAGGCCCCAGGCCCTGAAGGCTGGGTGGATATTCTGGTCTGACCTCCATGGAAGGAATGTATCTTCAGAGCCTGCGTTTCCCAGGACATGGCCTGGGAGGTAACTTTGACCTGCCTGGAGGCTCGTCAGAAGGGGGCCAGACTCCAACCTCAGGGTGGCCCATCCTGAAGATACTCTAGAAAAGAAAGCCCTCAGGCTAGCAGAAGCAATTCCACTTCCACAGTCCCCTGCATGCATCCTTACTGCTAGGAGTGTCCTACATAACCATATGTGAGACTGGTCTCTTCCATGCCGCTCACTTGACTGTGTGACCTCAGGTGAGTTACAGGACATCTCGGGTTCAGATTCCTCCACTAGGCCAGGAGGGAAATCAAAGAGAAGCTAGGGTAGCAACATCCTCCCCCACCTACCACTCCCAGAGGGTGGGGAAGCCTATATGCTCCCAGGAGAAGCCAGGAATGGAGGAGGCATGCCATCTTCAGAAGCCTGAACTGTGGGGTCCAAAACAGCTGCACCAGGCCCACAGTCAAGGATGCCTCTGGAACACCCATGGGCAGGAGGCAACTCCATCCGCAGCTCCTCCTCTCCAAGTCCAAAGCACACTGAAGGCTCAGGGTATAGTCAAGGAAGTCATAGACTCTAAGGGGAAGGTGTCTGATGAGGGCAGAGCCTCTCCTGCTGTCTCCTGCGGGCTGTGCCCGTGTCTGCGTAAGGGGCTGGGTGTAGGTGGGAGCGTGTCAATGTATGAGACTGCCAGTCTGTCAGAGCACACACATCTCTGTGTGTGTGTGTCATGGTGTCTTTGTGCCTCTCACCTTCTGCCCCTTTTTTCCTCCCTGCCCTCTGCTGCCTTCCCATAATTCTCTGTCTCCTGGGGCCACACTTGTTCCTGGCCCCAAACTGGTCCCAGACCCACTGAGGACTACATCATCTTCTTCATTTCTCTTCATTCCTCTACTGCTCTTAGATCAGCAGATCAAAGCTGGTGGTGCCCTTTAAGATCATTCCCTTATTTTAGTGAAACCTGGAACCCAGAGAGAGGAGAAAACTGGCTCAGAGTTACACAGCAGGTCAGTGGAAGGGTCCAGATGAGCATCCAGGCTGAATCCATGCCACCTGCCTGGACCACACTCTCCAAATTATGGCTACTCTTGTCCAGTACAGAGCTTCCCACTCCTCCTACCTGCCTTCTGGGAAAACCACAGCTCTGATCTCCCTCTTGACCTCAGTGAGCTCCAGGCCACAGTGTCTGACACCCAGGATATATCCACACCTTGGGCAGCCCACCAGCACCTCAGCCTCAGTACATCTACAACCAGGCTCATCCTTAACCTGTGGTGGCCCTCCTCTCTCCATGGCCAGTTCCCTCCCTCATCCCATGGGGGAAATGCCATCTTAGTTACCTTTTATCTCCTCTCCCCTTTTCCCTAGGTCTGACTCGCCACCAAGTCTTATTGTTCCTCCTTTTGAAATGCACCTGGAGCCTTCACTATGTCCTTCTCTCCCCAGAGTCAGGGCCAACAGCACAGCCGAGGGAGCTGAAATCTAGCTGGGGCCCTGCTTGCCAAGCCATGCCCATGGGCCCAGCTGCCTCAGAGGAAGTACCTCTCTTCTGATTCCTCTGTTCTGAGGGGATATTGTTTCTGGTTTTTGCCAAAAGTACGATATAGGCTAGAGGTAGCCAGGCCCCTGGACCCCCAAACTCCAGAATCCTTTAGAATCTGGTGTCAAGGTGCCCACCTGTCTAGCTTCACCTCCCGTTGCTCCCCTTACAATTACATACTTCAACTTAGTCTTCTCACAGCCAAAACCTCCCACTCCTGTCGCCTACCTGTTTTCCTCTTCCCAACATCCTTTCTTCCCTTCGGGACTGAAGCAGCTATTATCAGCCTTTGTGCCCAGCTGAAGCCCACTCCCTGATGATCAGCCTCCACCAGCCTGAATCGTGGACACTCAGCAGCCCAGACTCAGCACTTTGGGGCCACAGAGATGAGCCCCACGAGTGTGTATACTCCAGAGCTCTCTGGCACTCACTGATGCTCTAGAATTCCAAATGGGGCTTGATTTGGGAGAGGACTTTTTATTAAACCCTGGCCTGTGCCACAAAAAGTTCTCCACACCTTTTGCTTAAGGGCAAAGAGCTCATCCCCACCCAATGTCACCTGGTTGGTGTTGGAGCACTCAGATAAGAAAAGTGCATCCCATTATTCCTAAGTTTGCCCTCTTGTAGGGCAAACCTTGTTCCCCAGGTTCCTGCTGCCCCCTCTGTGGCTGCATAGAACCACCTTGCAAAAACCTAAACACCATGCTGGAAGACAAAGATGTTCAATGAATGTCCCTTGGAGGAATACATGAGTGGGGCCAGAACCCCCTTGTTCCTCCTTGAGCCAGCATCAGGCTGTTTGGTTTATCTGCATTCTCCTGCCATTGCACCCCCTTCCAAGCCAACAGAACCCAGACCTGGGGAAAGGAAGGGTTCACCCAAGGTCACCTAGAGGCCATCAGCTACAAGGCAAAGGTCGGAACTCACTGGGGGTGGGGGCATGTTCTGTTGTAGCTGTGGCCCCTCTGAACATAGGCAGGCTCCTCTGCTTCCCTCTTGAATAAAGTAAGGGCTGCCCTCCAGCTGTGAAGGAGCTGGCACTGCCCCATGCACTGCCCCTCTGTGCTCAAAGGCTTCTTCCAGAGGGCAAGCCCAGGGGTGTGGGCCTCAAATAGGGAGGTGGCAGTGAGGGCGGGAGGAACTGAGGGAGGCAATAATCCCACACCCTCACCCAGCTTCAGAAGAGCTGGTGCTGAGACGGTTGCCATGGTGACAATAGCTCCCTGGTCAGGAGATTTTTTTCTTTCCTCTCCTCCTTTTTCTCTTCTCCAAGCAGCGGCAGCCAGGTCTTCTCCCTCTCCTTCTTAATGAGAGGCAGGGATGATAAACACAGAGTGGGCCCCACTGGCCACCTCCATCTTGGAGCTGTCCATGCCACGTGTACTGGTGATCTAGGAGGGACTCCTAACAGCCGGGAAGGGGCCTGGGCCTGGAAAGTGTGTGGGAGGGGGTGGCCTGGGTAAGAAGCAACGTCTTCTCAGTGATAACTAAAGCCCCTTAGGCCTCCTGTCTGAAATGTCCTAATGGTCTAGGGGAAGAGAAAAGGCTCCTGT